TTATTTGAATTTTCTATACTGCTGCTTAAAAGTTTAAAAAGTTTGTTTATATAATTATACCTTGTATTTTCGTTCTTTGGTGATATCTAATAGTTGATATATGATCGAAAAAAAACAGCGCAAATTTAGCTTGGAAATGATGATCGATAATATACTGTCATAGGCTACTGGTTAAAATCAAGAAAAATATACGCTTTAAAGTTAAATCTTAAATACCTTAAAAACGATTTATTTTAGGTACAGGAACATGTATAGTCAAAAAGTAACAAATTTTAAAAACGAAAGTAACGAAAGCCTTTTCACGAGTGAAATAAAAAAAGTGGATTTCCATTTGAAAAAAAAAATGATTTATGATAATTTTTTAATCGATCAATTCCATGACAGTTGCGGCCATTATTATATGACATTCGGACAATTTAATTTTTGACATAGATAGCCACATGTCTTCTCTTTATGGTACAGTGGCTGTGGCAATCATTAAATTTGACGTTTAGGCTATATACATATATATTTTTGAAAGGCAGTTTTTTTCCTCCAAAAATTATAAATATTTTTTTTTTCTCAAAAACGGTTAACGTTAGGTATAGAGTGTTTAATATCAAAATTCATAAAATTTTACAGAGAACTTAAGTTTGTAATAAAAAATTTTGTCACCCATTTAAAATAAGAAAGTTGCTGTCAACTTCCGGTACTTCCAAAAGTGCCGCCATATTGAAAATATTTTTAATCGATAGATCTCATTGTGAAACAATGATATGCACAAAATCTTGTATCTAGATATTGTAGTTCTCTAGAAACTTCTAACGCAGCCTGGGCCACTCTGTATAAATACTTGAATTTTGTCAACCATTATATATACCTCATTCAATTTTTACAAAATGTGCATTAGAAGTATATCATTATCTAAACCGACCGGGGGCCACATTTAGCTTCGCCGCCCCCGGCCCCCGACAGGCTTAGTCCACCACTGGGTATCACCCCTTAACAGTTTTGTATTGTGGTGCGTGAATTTCACAATCATATTGTTTGGCTGGAAATGGGGAATTATGTAAACATTTTATTAATTAGTATAATTTAATAAATTTCCTTTAGTCAAAAATATTTCTTTAATTTGTTAAATTATTGTGGATGTATGTGGTATGAGCGAGGTCTGCGAGTGATCGAGTAATAAACAGCAAACAAAGTCGTACACCGCGAATACTATTCTCAGTTCAACTAATTCTTTTGTAGATAATTATTCCAATACAGAAAAAAAAATAACCACTTTTTTCAAATCACAGAAATTCTTGCAAACAAAAATATTTGATATCGAATTTGACAATGAAAAATCATATTTTTACTGGCATTTTATTTGTAGCTTTATCTGGGCCGTATTTTTGAATTTTTAGTAATTTGAAGGTAGATTTTTGCAAATAACTTTTAAATGCTTATTCCAAATAAAACTAAATCTTAGACGACAGTACAACTTTAACGCCTCTTCAAAAAAGTCTAATACAATTTTTGCATAAAATCTTCTGGAGAGATAATATTTCATCTTTTCAAAATTTACATGGAATTTCCTATGTCCCGCGTTTGGATACACCACACGGTACAATTAAGGTCACACCACACCGTTTACATTTTACATATTAAAATAACACTGCGATGAGGCTGAAATGATAGGCAAATATTAGTCAATAAAAACAGACAGGAGCAAAAAATAAAATAAAAAATCAAAACACAAATAAAATAAACTTAAGTAATAGGATTTGGGTGCGAATCATAGAGACTGAAACCTCTCGGTCTATTATTTCTTTTTGCTTCTTTTGGATTTATAAACCAGGTCTCTTTGGGATTAATAAATAAAGGGTAAAAAAAAGTAAACCGTTATTTTTAATTTAGATTACACGGGCTAATAGACCCAAATATATTTCTAGTCTCACCTGACTGATGAATAGAGAGAAGGAGTAGTAAGTATCCGTCAAATGCAGTGACAATTTGAGCATGTCTCAGCGTTATCACAGATTCCTCTGATGAGATATGGTAAATAGGTGCGATAACAAAAACAATACATTACATCGAGAATTAAAACACCAAGAAGCTAAAAAGCACAACGAGAGTTAAAAAACAGCAAGAAGCAACATTTTAACTATTCCTAAAACTTAAATCTAGACAGATTGCCACTACCTCAAGACTTCTTTCTACTCCCTCTTCCTACTCGGTTCAGCCACAGACGTTCAAAATATAGCTGAACTTACTAGCCTATGGGGTTCGAATGAACCACGGATGAATGTTAGTTCAACTTATTTACTCTAAAGATGTCAATATTCATCAGTAAGATATTAAGGCTAGTACAACAAAACAGCCAAATGGTTTAGAAAGAAAATAACAGTTACTTGAATATTGTTCATGTTGAAGAAAAGAAAAACATTGACTCCCTTTTATTCGGGATATAGTAGGAAAAGACCACAGGATCTTTCGCCGAACGACTTCTTCTTGTGGAGCACACTCAAAAAACGTTTTTATGGGTATATTAAATACAGAAATTTAAACAGACTGAAAACGACACCCCTATACTAATGCTAAAGATTCTCCCCTTAACAGTTTAGTTTTGTGAGGCGTGAGTTTCACAATCATATTGTTTGGCTGTGAATGGGAAATTATATAAACATTTTATTAATTAGTATAATTTAGTAAAGTTCCTTTAGTTACAAATATTTCTTTAATTTGTTAAATTATTGTGAATGTATGCGGTATGAGCGAGGCCTCCGCGAATATATTGTCAGTTCAACTAATTCTTTTGTAGATGATCATTCCAATTCAGAAAAAATAACCACTTTTTCAAACCAAAGAAATTCTTGAAAACAAAAAATATGTGATATCGAATTTGACAATGAAAAATCATATTTTTACTGGCATTTTATTTGTAGCTTTATCTGGGCCGTATTTTTGAATTTTAAGTAATTTGAAGGTAGATTTTTGCAAATAACTTTTAAACGCTTATTCCAAATAAAACTAAATCTTAGACGACAGCACAACTTTAACGCCTCTTCAAAAAAGTCTAATACAATTTTTGCATAAAATCTTCTGGAGAGATAATATTTCACCTTTTCAAAATTTACATGGAATTTCCTATGTCCCGCGTTTGGATACACCACACGGTACAATTAAGGTCACACCACACCGTTTACATTTTACATATTAAAATAACACTGCGATGAGGCTAAAATGATAGGCAAATATATATTAGTCAATAAAAACAGACAGGAGCAAAAAATAAAATAAAAAATCAAAACACAAATAAAATAAACTTAGGTAATAGGATTTGGGTGCGAATCATAGAGACTGAAACCTCTCGGTCTATTATTTCTTTTTGCTTCTTTTGGATTTATAAACCAGGTCTCTTTGGGATTAATAAATAAAGGTTAAAAAAAAGTAAACCGTTATTTTTAATTTAGATTACACGGGCTAATAGACCCAAATATATTTCTAGTCTCACCTGACTGATGAATAGAGAGAAGGAGTAGTAAGTATCCGTCAAATGCAGTGACAATTTGAGCACGTCTCAGCGTTATCACAGATTCCTCTGATGAGATATGGTAAATAGGTGCGATAACAAAAACAATACATTACATCGAGAATTAAAACACCAAGAAGCTAAAAAGCACATGGAGAGTTAAAAAACAGCAAGAAGCAACATTTTAACTATTCCTAAAACTTAAATCTAGACAGATTGCCACTACCTCAAGACTTCTTTCTACTCCCTCTTCCTACTCGGTTCAGCCACAGACGTTCAAAATATAGCTGAACTTACTAGCCTATGGGGTTCGAATGAATCACGGATGAATTGTTAGTTAAACTTATTTACTCTAAAGATGTCGATATTCATCAGTGAGATATTAAGGATAGTACAACAAAACAGCCAAATGGTTTAGAAAGAAAATAACAGTTAGTTGAATATTCTTCATGTTGAAGAAAAGAAAAACATTGACTCCCGTTTATTCGGGATATAGTAGGAAAAGACCACAGGATCTTTCGCCGAACGACTTCTTCCTGTGAAGCACACTCAAAAAACGTTTTTATGGGTATATTAAATACAGAAATTTAAACGGACTGAAAACGACACCTCAGTAGAATGCTAAAGATTCTCCCCTTAACAGTTTAGTTTTGTGAGGCGTGAGTTTCACAATCATATTGTTTGACTGTGAATGGGAAATTATATAAACATTTTATTAATTAGTATAATTTAGTAAAGTTCCTTTAGTTACAAATATTTCTTTAATTTGTTAAATTATTGTGAATGTATGCGGTATGAGCGAGGCCTCCGTGAATATATTGTCAGTTCAACTAATTCTTTTGTAGATGATCATTCCAATTCAGAAAAAATAACCACTTTTTCAAACCAAAGAAATTCTTGAATACAAAAAAAATGTGATATCGAATTTTACAATGAAAAATCATATTTTTACTGGCATTTTATTTGTAACTTTATCTGGGCCGTATTTTTGAATTTTTAGTAATTTGAAGGTAGATTTTTGCAAACAACTTTTAAATGGTTATTCCAAATAAAACTAAATCTTAGACGCCAGCACAACTTTAACGCCTCTTCAAAAAAGTCTAATACAATTTTTGCATAAAATCTTCTGGAGAGATAATATTTCATCTTTTCAACATTTACATGGAATTTCCTATGTCCCGCGTTTGGATACACCACACGGCACAATTAAGGTCACACCACACCATTTACATTTTACATATTAAAATAACACTGCGATGAGGCTGAAATGATTAGTCAATAAAAACAGACAGGAGCAAAAAATAAAATAAAAAATCAAAACACAAATAAAATAAACTTAAGTAATAGGATTTGGGTGCGAATCATAGAGACTGAAACCTCTCGGTCTATTATTTCTTTTTGCTTCTTTTGGATTTATAAACCAGGTCTCTTTGGGATTAATAAATAAAGGGTAAAAAAAGTAAACCGTTATTTTTAATTTAGATTACACGGGCTAATAGACCCAAATATATTTCTAGTCTCACCTGACTGATGAATAGAGAGAAGGAGTAGTAAGTATCCGTCAAATGCAGTGACAATTTGAGCACGTCTCAGCGTTATCACAGATTCCTCTGATGAGATATGGTAAATAGGTGCGATAACAAAAACAATACATTACATCGAGAATTAAAACACCAAGAAGCTAAAAGCACATCGAGAGTTAAAAAACAGCAAGAAGCAACATTTTAACTATTCCTAAAACTTAAATCTAGACAGATTGCCACTACCTCAAGACTTTCCCTCTTCCTACTCGGTTCAGCCAGAGTGACCACAGACGTTCAAAATATAGCTGAACTTACTAGCCTATGGGGTTCGAATGGACCACGGATGAATTGTTAGTTAAACTTATTTACTCTAAAGATGTCGATATTCATCAGTGAGATATTAAGGCTAGTACAACAAAACAGCCAAATGGTTTAGAAAGAAAATAACAGTTACTTGAATATTGTTCATGTTGAAGAAAAGAAAAACATTGAGTCCCGTTTATTCGGGATATAGTAGGAAAAGACCACAGGATCTTTCGCCGAACGACTTCTTCTTGTGGAGCACACTCAAAAAACGTTTTTATGGGTATATTAAATACAGAAATTTAAACAGACTGAAAACGACACCCCTATACTAATGCTAAAGATTCTCCCCTTAACAGTTTAGTTTTGTGAGGCGTGAGTTTCACAATCATATTGTTTGGCTGTGAATGGGAAATTATATAAACATTTTATTAATTAGTATAATTTAGTAAAGTTCCTTTAGTTACAAATATTTCTTTAATTTGTTAAATTATTGTGAATGTATGCGGTATGAGCGAGGCCTCCGCGAATATATTGTCAGTTCAACTAATTCTTTTGTAGATGATCATTCCAATTCAGAAAAAATAACCACTTTTTCAAACCAAAGAAATTCTTGAAAACAAAAAAAATGTGATATCGAATTTGACAATGAAAAATCATATTTTTACTGGCATTTTATTTGTAGCTTTATCTGGGCCGTATTTTTTAATTTTTAGTAATTTGAAGGTAGATTTTTGCAAATAAATTTTAAATGCTTATTCCAAATAAAACTAAATCTTAAACGACAACACAACTTTAACGCCTCTTCAAAAAAGTCTAATACAATTTTTGCATAAAATCTTCTGGAGAGATAATATTTCACCTTTTCAAAATCTACATGGAATTTCCTATGTCCCGCGTTTGGATACACCACACGGTACAATTGAGGTCACACCACACCGTTTACATTTTACATATTAAAATAACACTGCGATGAGGCTGAAATGATAGGCAAATATTAGTCAATAAAAAAAGACAGGAGCAAAAATAAAATAAAAAATCAAAACACAAATAAAATAAACTTAGGTAATAGGGTTTGGGTGCGAATCATAGAGACTGAAACCTCTCGGTCTATTATTTCTTTTTGCTTCTTTTGGATTTATAAACCAGGTCTCTTTGGGATTAATAAATAAAGGTTAAAAAAAAGTAAACCGTTATTTTTAATTTAGATTACACGGGCTAATAGACCCAAATATATTTCTAGTCTCACCTGACTGATGAATAGAGAGAAGGAGTAGTAAGTATCCGTCAAATGCAGTGACAATTTGAGCACGTCTCAGCGTTATCACAGATTCCTCTGATGAGATATGGTAAATAGGTGCGATAACAAAAACAATACATTACATCGAGAATTAAAACACCAAGAAGCTAAAAAGCACATCGAGAGTTAAAAAACAGCAAGAAGCAACATTTTAACTATTCCTAAAACTTAAATCTAGACAGATTGCCACTACCTCAAGACTTCTTTCTACTCCCTCTTCCTACTCGGTTCAGCCACAGACGTTCAAAATATAGCTGAACTTACTAGCCTATGGAGTTCGAATGAACCACGGATGAATTGTTAGTTAAATTTATTTACTCTAAAGATGTCGATATTCATCAGTGAGATATTAAGACTAGTACAACAAAACAGCCAAATGGTTTAGAAAGAAAATAACAGTTACTTGAATATTGTTCATGTTGAAGAAAAGAAAAACATTGACTCCCGTTTATTCGGGATATAGTAGGAAAAGACCACAGGATCTTTCGCCGAACGACTTCTTCTTGTGGAGCACACTCAAAAAACGTTTTTATGGGTATATTAAATACAGAAATTTAAACAGACTGAAAACGACACCTCTATACTAATGCTAAAGATTCTCCCCTTAACAGTTTAGTTTTGTGAGGCGTGAGTTTCACAATCATATTGTTCATGGGCGCCGGACAGGGGGGGCAAGAGGGGGCATTTGCCTCCCCCCTGGATCACTGAAACAATAAAAATAAAAGCTATCTTCTTACATCCATCTGTAAAAAAATAATCATTATTATGAAATTTTTAGGTGTTACCTGTAAAATAATAATAAATGTGGTAATTATTGGGAAAACTGGAAATCGTCCTATTTTCACCAAAATTGGTATACACACTATTTTGAGGTCGTAGATTACGAATCTACTTTACAAACGTAAAGAAAACGTACGTAAACAAAAACAATACATTACATCGAGAATTAAAACACCAAGAAGCTAAAAAGCACATCGAGAGTTAAAAAACAGCAAGAAGCAACATTTTAACTATTCCTAAAACTTAAATCTAGACAGATTGCCACTACCTCAAGTCTTTCCCTCTTCCTACTCGGTTCAGCCAGAGTGACCACAGACGTTCAAAATATAGCTGAACTTACTAGCCTATGGGGTTCGAATGAACCACGGATGAATTGTTAGTTCAACTTATTTACTCTAAAGATGTCGATATTCATCAGTGAGATATTAAGGTTGGGACAAACAAATCAACCGAACAAGACTAATAACAAAATGATCAAAAGTGATATAGTCCAGGAGGCAGTGAATTTTTTTTTGTATTTATTTATTTTCCCAGTGGGTGAATATATAATAGTTTGTTCGGATGCTTGAAATTTAACGTATCATTTATACTAATCATCTGTAATCATAACAGTAAAATCATAAACTGTAATTAAAAGCCAGTCCTGCTGATTTACGAAATTGGCAAATGAGTCTGGCGGCATCTTGAAAATTGCAAAAATTACAAAATTTTTGCATTGCATTTTTCGCCCCGACCCATCGGAAAACACTCCTACATATACAGGGTGTCCCAGAAATAAGTGCAAGTATTTAAACTAGTAGTATAGTTCATCCCCAGAAACACGCCTATGAGGTTTTTTTCGCAAAAATTTTTTTTTGAAAAGTCGGAATTTTTGGAATTTTTTTTTGGAAATTTGTTTAGCTTTTATTAAAAAAAAAGAATTTCTTGATAATATGGCAACATAAGTAGTAGATTAAATTTACAAGAAAGAAAATTTAGAAAAGATCCAGTTGGTTCTCAAGATTTTAGCAAAAAATCATTTTTTTTGCAAATGTTCAAACCAAAATAACTCTGTTATTTTGGACTTATTTAAAAAACGATAAAGAGAAAATATGTTTCTTTTGTCGAGATCTACCACCCCTTAAAATACTTGCACTTATTTCTGGGACACCCTGTATATGAAATTCGCTTAGAATAAGATACCTAATTTTTAACTCTATGAAGATACCGAATAATTCTATCGGTGTTTGATGACTGGGAAAATAAGTAACGAAAATCTTTACTGCCTCCTGGACTAATATTAAAGTCATTGATATGGAACGCTTGTTAATTTTATTCTACCTATAGTTTATCAAATACATAGGTATGTCAACAACAAAATCCGACAAAGGTAGATAGGTCTGTGTCATTTTAATTTTATAGTAAATTATTTTTTCTACAAACGTCAGTAAAAGTGTAATTTTTAACGCATGCTGCCAGTGCCTAAAATGTGACATTATGTCACTGATGGTTAAAGTCATTTACCTAAAAGTAAGTCACGTGATTTACTTTTAACACTGAAGCGATAATTGTTACCCTAGCAACCATAAACTTCATAATTAATTTGATTTTAGAATTACATATTTATGAATTATTCATTAACGTGAAAAGTAATAATACCTTGATATATACGAGCATAAACTTGTTTGTAGAAAAAATAGTGTATGATATGTGTGCTAAAAGTGATCAAGCTTCCCTGCTCACAAAATAAAATACCACTTTTAGTACTTATATCATAAATAACTATTATTTTATAATGGTACAATTCAGGAAAGTGTGGTACAAAGTACAAAGGCATTCAGGAATTGGTACATTTAGAATTTAGAATTTTTTTAGAATTTAGAATGAGTGGGAGGGGGGTTAATCACTTCGACCTTACAGATCCATTGTGTCCCCCTTTCTTGAATCATAACTCATCATACAGTCCCAGGGCTTTGACAAAAGCCAGTATCTGGGACGGTTTTATAGAGGGTAGTTCTCCATCTCCAATATCAGTGGTACCAAAATTCATGGCACGAATGGTTGTCGTCTCGGCGCACTCAGTGATGAGGTGTACTGGTGTTTCCCCATCTTTCCCACAGAATCTGCATTCGCCGTTTCTTCTTAGTTTCAATCTACTGAGGTGTCCATTGAGGAGACAGTGTCCTGTTAAAAACCCCGTGACAATCCGAAGATTGTTCTTACTCAGAAAGATCTGTGATTTTTCTTGATCATAAGCCCTCAGAAACTTCTTCGAGTGTCTTCGAGTGTTCGCTCCTTTCCTAGCTAGATTATTTGCTTTTTCATTGCCTTCTATTCCTTGGTGAGCAGGCACCCAGTGTAGGAGGACTTTGTTTTCTTTGCCTAATTTATTCAGCTTCTCTATGCATTCTTTGACCAATTTCGAATTGATTGATACTGAGTTGATCGCCTTTAACGCTGCTTGACTATCAGATAAGATGGCTATTTCTTGTTTCCGATAGTTCCTATCTAAGATAAGTTGTACGCATCTCTCGATAGCGTAGATTTCTGCCTGTAGGATACTAGGGTAAGTGCCCATTGCTTCGGAGTAATTAGCTCTCGGCCCAAACACTCCGATCCCTCTTCCCGTATTGGTTTTGGAAGCATCAGTATACCAAGTTATGGTATGGTCTTTTAACTGCTGGGCAAGCGTTTCGCTCTTCCAATCCTTCTTATTGCTCAATACTACATTGACATGTTTGTCAAAGTTGTACGTTTGGCATATCGTCCACTGGGAGTTGCAGGAGTGGTATTTCCTTTTTTGAGGGTGTTCCAAGCCCCTGATCTGACAATTCTCCCAGTACTAATTCCGTTAGTGACCATTCTAATCATTGTCGCATTGGCATATCTACCAATGACAATGTGCAGTAGTGTTAGATCTAGAATGACCTCCATTGCTGCTGTTGGACAGGTTCTCATGGCTCCTGTGATGCAAACACATGCTAGTCTCTGGACTTTGCATAGGTTTAGCCTTGCCGTCCGTTGCTCTAGTTTTGTGTACCAGGCAACTGCTCCATAAGTAATCATGGGTCTTACTATCATGGTATACATCCAGCGCAAAATGTTAGGGGAGCAGCCCCATCTATTTCCGGCCAGTCTTCTGCATATCATGAGAGCCTTTATGGCTTTGCTGGTAGTGTTCTTAATATGCCTGTTCCACAGGAGTTTACTGTCCAGGGTTATTCCCAGGTATTTAACTTCCTGTGTTGGCAGTATTTCCTTTCCATCTAGTTGGATTCTTTTCAAGTTTTTCAGACTTCGCCTTCTGGTGAATGGCACTATCGCGGTTTTGTCTGAGTTGATACTCAGCCCGACAGTCCTACACCATCTCTCAGTGATACGGAGTCCTCTTTGGATAATATCACACAAGGTGCCTTCATGTTTCCCCCGAGCGATCATGACTATGTCATCTGCATACCCAATGCAGTGTATTCCCGCTAGAGTTAATTCATCTAGTAGTTCATCCACCACCAAGCTCCACAGCAAAGGGGAGGTTACTCCACCTTGTGGAGTTCCTTGCGTTGTTTTAACAGCTACAGTTTTGGTGCCCATCTGAGCCTCTGCTGTTCGTGTTGACAGCATTTCCCAAAACCAGCGAATAATAGTTCTGTTCACCCCTCTTGTTTCTAGAGATCGCCTGACCACCTTATGTGGTATATTGTCAAACGCCCCCGCAATATCCAAGAAGGCACAAATTGCTGTTTCTTTGCTATCCAGACTTGTCTGTATTAGCTCCGTTAATTGGTACAGAGCAGTTTCTGTGGATCTGCCCGTTCTATATGCATGCTGACTATCATGCAGTGGTTTAACCTTTAGATGATTTTCTCCAATATGGTTGTCAACTACTTTCTCCAGCGTTTTTAGTATGAACGATGTGAGACTAATAGGCCTAAATGACTTGGGATTTGGCCAGTCAGTTTTTCCTATTTTGGGTATGAAGATTACTTTTGCTCTTCTCCATGTGGTTGGTATATACCCATCGCTAGACTGCTTCTTGTAATGCTTAGTAGATGGTGAGTAGCTATTTGCTGACCCTCCTTTAGAAGGGCAGGAAAGATCCCATCCACTCCTGCTGCTTTATAGGGCTGAAAGGTGTCGATCATACATACAAAACAGGAAATTAATATTATTCAAAATTTTAGTAAGTAATGATTACTTCAAATATAATGAAAAAAAAACTGTAAAAACCCTATAAAACTAAAAAAATCTAATCGCGTTAGTTTATAAAAAAAAAAAAAAAACGTTTAGGATGTCCATTAATAAAAAAAGGTTTGTGTTATTATAAAAAGACTTGTGAACTTGACTAACATTTGTAATTGGTAAACAGGGTATACATGGTGCGTCGGGTATCTATATATCTAGACTTTCTTAGAAGTTATTTATTATAGGAACTACGCCACATTTTATTTCAAAAAGCTATTTATTTCAA